AGAATGAAGTTAAGTGGTTTTAGCAGCAATGTTATAAAGGTGTATGTAAAAATGGATTGTTAACAGGTGAGAATCCAAAGTTATAATATATTAAGTTAAAGGATTAAGACAAAAATAAAGAGGGAAAGGAATTGCTGAATTAACTAATAGAACTGGAATACAAAAAAGGGAGGTGTGAGGAAGTCAGGAAAGTAAGGAAATGAAATGTAAGGTATGGAAAGATTGATGTGTTTTTAAAGTGTTTTTTATCTTTTATCTGTATTTTGTATCTTTTCTTTTTTATTTCTTTCTTTTTTTCTTTTCTTTTTATCTATGTAATTTTTTCTTTGAAACTTTAATAAATATCATTAAAAAAAAAAAATGGCTTTCAGTCCAGGCAGGAAAGAGAAGTTAAGATCTGGTGTGGTCAATGCCTGAGGCATTATTGAGTTAAGGGCACTCTTTGTCAGCCATCACTCACTTGGTGTTGAGTCGTTTCGGGTGCCATTCAGGCTTGGCAAGCACACTGGGCTTAACAACAACCTGCACCTGTCAGGTTCATATACCCAAGGTTCTCTTAGCAAGGAGGACTAATTCCTCCCAATCGTTTGCTGCGGAGCCACTTGTGGAGCTAAACATGCTAAGAAGGCAGAAGGGACCTGATCTCACCAACCTTAGGGAACTTCTTTGCCCAGACTACATACAGTGGTACCTCAGGTTACAGACGCTTCAGGTTACAGACGCTTCAGGTTACAGACTCCGCTAACCCAGAAATAGTACCTCGGGTTAAGAACTTTGCTTCAGGATGAGAACAGAAATTGTGCTCCGGCGGCGCAGCGGCAGCAGGAGGTCCCATTAGCTAAAGTGGTACCCCAGGTTAAGAACAGTTTCAGGTTAAGAACGGACCTCCAGAACGAATTAAGTGCTTAACCCGAGGTACCACTGTATTTGAGTCAGCTAATTGTGTTTATTTGGTGTGGTTTTGGGGGGTAGATTTTGTTATATTTGAATAAATATTATATTTTTTAGTTATGGTTTATTGGATCTTCTTTAAAGGCATGCTGGCAAAGATTTTAGTGATTTATTTAATTTGGCTTATTGAACTCATTGCATGAAATTGCATGAGGTACCAATGTGCTCACGATGTTTGTTATTGTGTGAAAACCTAGCAAAACCAAACAGGTACCGAGAATGCAGTATAGCACTTGGGGGGCATATATGTTGATAGGAAAAGTCTGCCCAAGACAGGTTTAGAGGCAACAGAGTTGAGTAGAAAAGGTTGCAAGGCCAAGTACAGTAATAGCAGCAGCAGTAAAGACAGAGACCGAGACTGAGTTCAGCAATAGCTGTAATCAGTACTGAATCTTCTTGCTTTTCTTTCTTTACATCCCATGAACAAAAGCCTGCCATGGGAACATGTTATCCTCTTGCACAACAACTAACCTGTAATTCTAACAGTCTGCAGGTGCCACATCATCAACTATGCCGGTCTATTGCAAAGAGCAAAGCACTGTATCCATTAACTTTACTATTAACTTACTGAATTGGCTTCGCAACAATTTCATAGTAATCTAAAGCTAACTGGTGTTTGAATTGCCCATCATTTCGGCTCAAAACAGTTGCAAAAGAAGTGTTGTTATTTTGGTTCCTGTTGGAGGAAGAGAACATGGGTTTTGCAGCCCAATCCTATGCATGCTTCCTTGCAAGTCAGACTCACTGAATTCAGTTGGATTTACTCTTGTGGTGGGCTGAGAGTTTAAAGTTCGTGCAGATGTGTATGTACGGCAGGGTGCTGGCAAAGGAACCCAGAGTGTAACATAATGCAGATACAACTGGAAGAAAGGGTAGCTATAGGAACCCCTTTGAACCTCACCAAGTGTTAGGAGCCCTGCTTGCAGTGGTCAGGTAATGCATTTGATTGAACTAATGTGCACTGGTATGTCACATGAAGCTCATACTGAGAGCTGGAAAAAAGCAAGACAAACAGATGTAAGCTGATGGTTGGAGTCACACTAAACATGCGGGGAGGAATTCAGCATTGCATTAAGGAGATTGCTCCAACAGCACAAGCATGCAAGCTTGCAAGAGGGAACAATCCCATATCCTTTCCCTCTCCTCCCCCCCCCGCTTTTCCATGGGTTATTTTGACGTGACCCCCAAGCAGGGATGACAAAATATTGGGGGGAGGTAAGCCCCACCCCCACAATCGATCACAAGATGTGGTACATGAACACCATTGGAATGCTCTCCCCAGGGAGGTTTCACTGGGGACTTCATTATACACCTTTAGGCGCCAGGCAAAAACGTTCCTCTTTAATCAGGCCTTTGGCTGATACACATTCAATGCCCTTTTAAAATGTGTTGTGGAAGAGGGGGATATTGGGTTGTAGAGTGGTATACAATAACAATAACAATAATAATAAATGGCAGTGCCCATCAACTTTGGGCTCCCTCACAAATTGTAGGGGGGGGTGAAGGGACCTCAGCCCCTAGGAGTTGGCTCCTATGGCCCTGTGCCAATTTCAGGGAGCACATGGGGAGGATAAGAGGAAGTCCTTGCATGGGCTTTTGAGGATGAGACTCATTTGTTGAATCCTGCCCGTGGAGTAGTCTGATCCAGACCTCCTTGCACAAATCACAAAATTCATTGCAGTGTCCTGTATTATGCAAAGAGAATATCTGAGTGTACAACTTTGCACTTGCATGGATCCTATGCATAAGGATGATCTACTTATGGCAGGAGGGTAAACGGGATCTGGCCAATGGGTTAGAAACTTATCTTCCCTACTCCTTGCAGACCAGGTTTGACAGGTGGGCAAGGCTCTCACAATGATATCAGGTGACCCCCCCCCCTTTTGCCTGTGCAGTTTGAAATCAAACTGTGTGAGCAAAGGCACAGTGCTTTGCAATCCCTGATGACCAGCTGATAAGCCTTATGGAGATGATGGCCTCTGTCCATTCAGTATGTTCTGCTTGTAAGGATCTGCCCAGGGTGTTTTCTACACACACACACACACACACACACACACACACACACACTGTATGACTTTATTCACATGTATTCAGTTATTCATGTGATAATTCAGGGTTAAAAAGATGCTGGAAAAATGAAGTTTGCGATACAGGGTTTGCAACCAAGCTATGCAATCAGCAGAACCACACGGTGCAGCTCTTGCCGGACTATACCGTTCCAAATTCAAATTGCAGGTGAAGGATCACGTGTTTAAATGCTTTTCCACATGAAAAAAGGTTGGTGAAAGGCACAGCAAAAGACCGAGAAATGCACATCACTTATACAAATGCTATGTTGCCCATGGCTGGCTGGAAATATATAGTCCCTCTCATTGCAGATGTATTCTCCATTACCAGCAGTTGTGGAGAGGAAAAAGCCTTGTGGCTCTTTCATTAGAGGCTGGAAGCACCATCCATAAGTTGAACATTCCTAATATTTGCCCATTCTCTTTTGTTTGAAGCTGATATTTTCCCCCTTGACAGCTTCATGTCATCCTAGTGCCACTTCCTCTGTCTGTCAATCTCCGTCAGTTTTTCTCAGCTGCAGAGAGATGAAAATTTGAAAGAAAAATCATCCTGAAGTGTCACCTTAAAGCCTGGAACTAAGCAGCTATTTTTGCAGGCCATTCATATTTTCAGCTTCACTTCTTTTTGTTCAGGATACTTTCCTGTGCCACTTTTTACACTCGTATTGTAGCCAGTAGCCTTTTCAGATAATGTCCATAGAAACCATTTTACCGGATCATTATTAACAATACTTGCAGCGAGGTCAACATATCATTGATTCCCAGTGATTTAGTGGCAAAGTTTGAAATGCAGGGGCTTGTCACGACAGCCCACCCTAGCCATGCCACTACAAAAGCACATCCCAAGAATCAGACCAAAGTTGCTGGACTAAATATGTTCGCCAGGGACTTAATTCCGAGTAAATATAGTTGAACTGCAAATATAGGAGTTACAAAGGTAGGATTCTTCCTTGTGTGTGTGTGTAGTCTGTGGCTATTTGTTCCTATTGTTTTGCAGCACTATCACACACTGCTTCAGTTAGGAGTTTACAGATTGTTTGATGGGTGGCTTGCCGTCCTTTTAGGAAAGGAAAGAGTCAGCCCGATTGTTCTTTGCGTACTCGGAACAATTGAATTATTATAAACTGGACCTGATGCAAATGACTGCAAACAAGTACCGTTCTGACAGATGATGCCATTGCTCTGGTTCTGAAAAATGTCTGGAGACATCCTTCTCCCCCTCCATGCTCCCCTTTGACTTACACCATTGTTGATTTCATCTGGGAGTAATTTAAGGAGGTGCGCACCTCTTGCATCAAACCCAATATGAGTTCTAATACCAATAGATAAATCTGTCTACAAATCATGTGATTCAAGCATTTTGCTGTGGGAAATCAGCAGCTGCAGGAATGGCAGCATGTTGATAAAAAGTAAGCAGCAAAGCAGGGCCCTCAGAATGAAAACAATTTAATATTATATAGATAAAATGGATAAATAAAATAGCAAGAGAACAACAAATGGGCTACCAATAGCTGCCATAGCCCGAAAATGTCATCTTAGGCTGCAAAAATCAAAAGAAATAGGTTTCCAGGTAAACATGCACATGGAAAACAGTGATGCCACATTTCCTATGACTAACTCAAGATCTCAGCCCTGCAAAAAGTCACCCATATGCACGGAAACTGCATGAGCAAAGGAAAAATGGAGATCGTGGTGTGTGTTTTTGCTGGTGGATCTTTGGCAAAGCAGAAAGCAATATTATCCATCTTAAATTCAATAGGGCTAGACCCAAGGTTCTCAAGACATGGAGCATGTCTCCCTGTGGAGGAACAAGAAATTGGCAGGGAAGGCACGACCCCCATAATCATATGGATCTGTCCTATTTATGCCATGTCACAGTCAGTGTAACACTGCCACCTGATTCCTCACTTAAATTGATTCATAGGGCTCTGAGGTCAAAGAACTAAGCAATTTTTCTGCATTTTGTAGAATTTCTTCTGGGCTAGGGCTGTAGCTCAGTGGTAGAGCGCCTGCTTTGCATTCAGAAGCTGCCAGGTTCAATCCCCCAGCGGTGTTGGATTTAGGGTATGTGGGCAGTTCCCCCACACAGGGTGCTGAGCCGAAGGAGTGCAAAATATGCCACAACTATGATGTGATGCACTTTAGAGCATGTGCAGAAGGAAAGGTGAGAGGGAGGATGGCATGCAAACATATATTTAGGCGGGGTGCCAAACTTTGTCCTCATTCAGGGCACCATATTACCAAAGTTCACCCCTGCCCACAGCACCTCCAGGTTGCACTGGGAATGTTCCCTGTTTGAAACCCTGAGAGCTGCTGCCAGTCTGTGTAGACAACACTAAGCGAATGGACCACTGGCCCCACTCTGCATGAGAAGCTTCCTATGGCCTCTCTGATCTGGAACTTAACTTATGCCATGGGCCATTGGTTGTTAACCAGTGCACCAAGGCACCTTGAGGAGACTTGAGGAACGTTCAGGAGACTCTGGGGGACTGTCATTTCATTAACCTGCAGCCTACAGTGGTACCTCGGGTTACATACGCTTCAGGTTACATAAGCTTCAGGTTACACACTATGCTAACCCAGAAATAGTGCTTCAGGTTAAGAACTTTGCTTCAGGATAAGAACAGAAATTGTGCTCCAGCGGCGCAGCGGCAGCGAGAGGCCCCATTAGCTAAAGTGGTGCTTCAGGTTAAGAACAGTTTCAGGTTAAGAACGGACCTCCGGAACGAATTAAGTACTTAATCCGAGGTACCACTGTATATCTTTCTGCATGTGCTTTCTCTCTGAGGAACTGTTATGTACTGAGTTGAAGAGGATCCAAAATGCAGCAGTCTGATTGGTCCCAGAACAATAGGATTCAGAATGCAGCAGTATGATTGGTCCGCAGGAGCCACCCAATCCAACTCCAGGTGGAAGTGAATCCGCAACGTGATTGGCCTACAGGAGAATCCCAGAATTAGCCAATCACATGGGGCCCATTGTGTAAATAATGTATATAAAGCAGACATTTCGGGGGACCTTCTATTCCTCACTACTATGAGCTGAATAAAGAGCATGAAATCCACACTCGACTCCGAGTATATTTCAGGAACATTCCGGGGAGCCAGCAGTTTTAACTTGCAGCCCATTATCTTCCTGCATCTCTCTCTCCCTGACAGCCACCCTTCCTTGGGTCCTCCTCCTCATTGCTGCCTCCCAGTCACACCCCAGATTCCTAGTCTCCCCCCGTTCTCCATTTCTGGTGCACTTAGAACGGGAATCCCCACTTGCATGCATCCTGCAACGAAACCCCAGTGTCAGTTGCTCCCACAGGGGAGCTGCAGAAAGAATGTGGTTGGTCAAGGGAGCCGTGGACTCAAAAAGGTTGAAATCTACTGCCATAGGCCCATGTAATGGTACTTCTTCCTCTTGATTCACCTGACTGTGTGCCTGGGACAAGAGTAAGCTTAACCAGTTCACTCTTTTTTGTTTTCCCCATATTAAATATAGGGAGGTGTTTCTGTTTTGCTCTGTAGAGTCTGAGACACTGTCAACTCCATGGAGCCTATAGCCTTGTCTGGGCCTCTCTGAGGAGGGGGCATAATGTACTATGAAAGTAACAGTGCAGGGCAAACAGCTGAAACTTGTGGTTTCCCTGGGAAATTTGTTGCGGTGCAATATTGGGACATGGCTTTTTCTTTAAAATTGTAACCCTGATGCTTAAGGATCCACATGCTGTGATGGGTGTGGAGGGGAGCGTTTAAAACGGCCAAAACCTTGTACAGATAATTGACAATCACTCTCTAATGTATGACAAAAGAAACCATTCATGACTCAAATTAACCTTAATAATTGGCCTAGGTTTGGATTGTTGTTAAGATGCTAAGTGCAAAAAGAGAGAGAGAGGGAAGCTCATGTTTTTGCCGTGTTTCTTTATAAACAGCACCTTAACAATGGCCTCAATCAAAATTTGGCTAGCAACCAATATCGTACAGCACAAAATTACTGTCATTTGATTGCGTGAAGAGCTTAATAAGAATTACATAATTTTATTTATTCATTCATTCAGTCCGTCAGTCATCAATACATATTTGAGTAATTGTTATGCAAGGTGTGAGCAAACATGTTCAATTGTGAGGTGTTGCTTCCTGCTCCCAAAAGAGAGAAAGGGAAAGAGAAAGAGAAAGAGAAAGAGAAAGAGAAAGAGAAGGAAGGAAGGAAGGAAGAAAGGAAGGAAGGAAGGAGAGGGGCACACTTTCTCTCTTTGCTCTGTCTAAAATGATAGTAAACAATTAAAGAGATCCATTTTGAGGAACTAGGTAAGTTCTTTTAGGTGAAAATCCCTCAAAGATCATTAAATTACACATTGCATACTTGAATGAATAAGTGAATAAGTGCTGGTTGTTTTGTCAATCTGTTTTCCCCACAGAAAAGAGATGCTCTGTCCTGCGTTTCTGTAAGAGGCAATAGTGACAGTCCTTGTGTTTTCTCCCCCATGACAAAGGCGCTGGAGAGATATCACCCAAGCTTTCCTTGCCAGGCAAAGTTAGGTTCCTTATTAATTTCAACAGATTTTTAGCTCCCAGTGTATTCAGCATACCCTTAGCTGTATCCTGTCAGGATGTGACATAACATTTTATAATGCGATGGTACATGTTATATAATGCTTTAAATTAAAAAGAAAAGAAGAAATCAAGACATTTCTTTCAAAGAAGCACTAAGTAGCTAATGTGAATATTTGGGGTAATTGGCTCTCCAAAGAGAGAGGGATCATTATTTCAGGTTCCCTAGTGAGTGTTAATTAGTCTTATTGCCTCCTTGTTTAACAAAAGAGGATGTTGCTAGTACCGCTATATCTATAATGACACATATGGCTTTTGCAACCTAGGTATTTTAAAGTAACATGACTGACAGCCAGGTAATTCTTTTCACAACAGAGCATGCTTACAAGAGTCAGTTGCCTTTGTAAGGGTAGCTTCACACATGACGACATTCCAACACTCAAGTTAGTCACTTCTGCGTAGGAATCTGCATCATTCGCCAGTGCAGATCATCGTGTTTGATGCTGATCCTTCATGCATGTAAATTTGCTGCAGTGAAGCACCCACTGAAAAGATGCAGCAAATCATACGGTCCTGACTCACTTATGTGCAGCAAAGTTCAAGTGCACATTTATTTTTGTGTGTGTGTGTGTGTGCGTGTGTGTGTGTGTATACTGCTGTTTCAGTCATATGACCAGAGAAGTTTGAAAAAGAATAAAATGTAAATAGAAAAAGGAAACACACACCAAAGTAACAGGTCCAGTAGTACAGTTAGGTGATTTTAGACTCTGGAGTTAATGGTCTTACAGGGAGGACCTCTTTAGAGGGTAACATGGATTTCTTCATTTTGTAGTGAGCTATCACAGTTTCGTTTCAGGGCTCTATTGTGCATCCTGCTGAGTCTGCTTGAAAGTCCTGTCCTAGGCTCCTCATAGAGCTACAATTCCCAGAGATTTATTGTTAAACCATTCTGCAAATTGCAGCTCTGCAAGGAAAATAAGGGTCTCCTAACCAGTCTCACGCAGTTAGCACTGTGGGTTAAACCACAGAGCCTAGGACTTGCCGATCAGAAGGTCGGCGGTCCGAATCCCTGTGATGAGGTGAGCTCCCGTTGCTCGGTCCCTGCTCCTGCCAACCAAGCAGTTCGAAAGCATGTCAAAAGTGCAAGTAGATAAATAGGTACCTCTTCAGCGGGAAGGTAAATGGCGTTTCCGTGTGCTGTTCTGGTTCGCCAGAATCAGCTTAGTCATGCTGGCCACATGACCTGGAAGCCGCCTCCCTCAGTCAATAAAGCAAGATGAGCGCCGCAACCCCAGAGTCGGTCACGACTGGACCTAATGGTCAGGGGTCCCTTTACTTAACCAGTCTCAGCACCCTTAAGAAGCTACATTTCCCAGGATTCTATGGGGAACGGGGAGCCATGCCAGTTGAAGTGGTCTATTCATGCTTAATGTATGGTATGTGGCTTCAGCCTGTCACAGACTGTAGAGGAATTCTGTGTGAGTCATAGGCTGTGCAGTGGCGGACCCATGCAGAATCTATCAGAAAGGGGACTTCAAATTTAGACACTTGGGGGAGCATTTTATATGTCTAGCAACTCGTTATTATGTGGCTCAGATCAAAATTTGACACTTAGCTTAGGGTTGCAAATTTAAACAAATAAGGGATGTGATTTGGTAAAAGACTTTTAAAAAACTGGTATTGATTTTGGTTAGGTATATTATAAGTTAAAGATGTTCATAAACATTAATTTAAAAATACTGGTTCTGATGGCACGAGATTAGACCGTGATGAACATGTCCTTTCAGACGAGCTGACTATGTAAACAAACCACTACTACTGACTGGTGCTGAATCATCAAGTGCATGTTGTAAAGCAGAGAACTGTTACGTTTTGGCTTGAGGCCTCAAACGTTGGAAGTGGCCCAGCTGCTTCAGTCCTCTGAGATGGCCTGGTTGGCCCATGCAATCTCTTGGTGTTTCAGGCTGATCCGTACTATACAACACGATTTGCAGAATCTGAGACACGCTGTATCACATACCCTTCCTTCTATCTCTAGTAGCACTCAGAGTGTTAATTTGTTTGCTTTAAAATGCAAGTCCCCTTTGGCATCGCACAGTTTCTTCACAACTACATATGCACAACATATGGTGCTGCACAGATATACAGCATGTAGATTATTCATATTGAATTGTACAGAACCACGTGTTGATAATGAGCCTGTTCTAAGTCATGGGGCTCTTGGTGAAGGAATGGGGAAATGCGCCTCTCTCTCTCTCTCTCTCTCTCTCTCTCTCTCTCTCTCTGCATTATTTCCCCCCCACATTATTTTCCCCCCTTCTGACAATACTGATCCGTTGCCTCAGGCACTGTGAAAATCATACCATAATATTAACTGACAATTGCATGTGTATTTATACTGATATCCTGATATTAGCATGTTGTTAAAAACAGAAAAACCTGGCAATACAATATGCAGCTAAATACATTTCTTCCTGATAGGAACAAATAAAATAGGCAGCAAGAGATGTCACCC